TGTAATTTGAACAGTAAAAGAGATGTTTAATGGCCAAACCTAGCAGCTAATGTTACTATCACTTTTTTTCCCTTTTCCCTGACATTAGATTGTTATTGGGCAGACTCAGCAGCTAACATACTGAAAAGGTTTCATTTTAGTACGAAATTTGTTTAATGGCCAAAATTAGCAGCTAAAGTAATTGAATAGTTTTATTTTTAATTAGACATTTATGTTCAATGACCAATCTCGGCGGCTAATGTAACATGGAGTTTTTAATTTTATCTTTTAATTCCTTGGTGATAAGGCTTCTTGCTTTCCATTTTAGAAATAGAACCATGATGAACCACAACCCCATGATTTTGACTGTGAGCTAGACATCCATCCACTTAACATTTTCTCAACTGCTTCCCAACCCAGACTTTTGACTCCTAGATATTTTTCTGCTGATTTAACCATTATTTTTGATCTTTTCTGTCTTCCTGTCTGTTTGTGCAGAACAGTTAATAACATCAACCATGAACAGTACAAACTCATTTTTCCCCACAACCAGTGTGTCTTCTTTTACTTTGCTACCTCCCTCACACGGTCTCAATTTGTTGCTCTCTGCACTAATTAGCTCAGTGTTAGATTTGCCTGGCTTCACAAACACTTTCTTAGCTGCTTTGGCGTATGTAATCCCTTGGGAAACTTTGTCGTTGCACTGTTGTCACTCTCCTACAGACCTCACACCCCTGGTAAGCCAAGCTATGTTTCCCTGGAGAACGTTCACACTTCCATATTCATGTTCAAGGCACATCTTTCACACCTTTGTTTGACTGTGCACACTGTCATGTGCCCATATTTTTGGCATTTAAAGCACCCAATAAATACTTTGGACGAAAGTCTTTCATCCTCAAATTTCAACATTACATTACTGCTGTCACATTTCTCACCATTAAAAGTGGTTTTAGGCATTTTCATCTCAATCTCCTATATATTTTTGCTCATTATTTCAGCCAACAGCAAGCATGCTAATGCTAACTGACTTGTGGCTCTGGTATGGTAGCACAATGTGAACTGCCTGATCACTGATCTGTGATCATCTGTTTTGAAACTAAAGCAACCTGCAAGGTGATGCTGTGCTGGAATGAAACTTAGTCCCTCTTTATTCTGCTTCAATTTTACTTGTAATTTTTTTTTTTTAAACAATGTCTTTATTGAATTTTCATTTTATTTTACAGCCATTAGCATTATTATGCAACACATTACACAATATGCAATCCACCACCCCACCACCCAAAAAAAACAAAAAACTTACTCCATTCTCTCTCTCTCTTGTGTTTAAAACCAAAATCAACATAAAGCATGAGAAAAAGTCATATTATTCGATGGAATGTATTGTCCATAGTCTCATGATGTGGGACAGTAAAATGTTCAAGCATAAAAAGTCCTAATAGCCAGTGAATGTAAATGCTAAAACTGTAATGATTTATTTTTGACAACTGATGTAAATATATAATTATCTATTTACACTAAAGGTGACAGAAAATGACAAACACATGGCTAGAGAGAAAGGCGAAAAGAGAAACAAAAAAAATATGAAAGAAAGCAGAGGAAAGACAAAAGGGAAAAAAATGATAAATTCATTAATGAAAGACAAGACACTGTTGAACTCCTTGAATGTCCTTAAGTGACCCAGCTGTAACCCTGACTTCAACCCAATCGAACATCTCTGGAGAGACCTAAAAATGGCAATCCACCGACAGTCCCCATCCAACCTGACAGAGCTTGAGAGGATCTGCAGAGAAGAGTGGCAGAAAATCCCCAAATCCCGGTGTGCAAAGCTTGTCGCATCATGCACAAGAAGACTTGAGGCTGTAATTCCTGTCAAAGGTGCTTCAACTAAGTACAGAGTAAAGGGTCTGAATACTTGTCAATGTCAATGTGATATTTCAGTTTTACCTTTTCAATAAATTTGCTAATAATTGTTTTGGTTTTGAGTAGATTAAGTGTAGATTGATGAGGGGAAAACGAAGTTAAACTATTTTTGCATGAGGCTGCAAGATAAAAAAATTTGAAAAAATTGAATACTGTCTGAATGCATTATACTGATCCGTCAAACAGACATCTCTTCATATTCTTTCCTAATAGGTGCTTCCTGCAAGCCCATATCATTTCTTCAAACACTGTTATCCTAGTTATATTTGTTTTCCATGTTATCCAAATTCATCAGATATCACATGACATCCTGCAACTTCATCCCAAGGCAGTGGGAAGACGTTTTGAAAGCTGGGCTGCCATCAGTGACAGAATCCTTGTGTATTCCCAGCAAAAGGGAAACTGCACTTAGTGCTGGATGACATGACACCAGGTAAGCTATTTCTCATCTCAAATTGTATCAGTTGAGAATATAACTTTGTCTTTTGTCTTTTATTATTATTATTTGTTGCAGTTGTAGTTATTATTATTAGATATAAAAGTATCCTATCATTGAAAGGCAACAAAGCAGGAAATAACCCAGTGTATGGGTAATATGTTAGAAATAATTAATTTCACGCACTAGGTTGGGTCAAATTCTGGGTTAAATGGTAAAAGTGTTCTGGCCCATAGTTACCAAAAGGTGGGGTTAACCCAGCAGTGTGTACTTTCATCCCTTTAATAAAATAAATAAATGACTCAGGGGCGGATCCGTCAGGGTGGCATAGGGTGGTAGCTGCCACCCCTAAAAAAATACCTTGCCACCCCAGCTACCACCCCAGTTTTGGACAGTCTAAATCAAAAGTCTATAGCTAAAAAGTTGTTACAAGAGTGAAGCTCCGATGTCCGAGTGCAAGTGAATGCAGCATGAGATGAACGCTCCCCATAGATCCCCAGGTGCTACGGGTTGTATATAAAAAGGTCGTACCCATATTTTTCTGAAGGAAAAGAACAACGTCATTACGTTTACGCTGGGTTATGCTGGCTGTCTTCCCCCGACCCCATTGGAGTGAAATATGATGATCTTTACATGGAGGCCTCCATTTTGTAGCCAGAAAGCTAACAAACAATAGCAGACCCGCTAACACAGAGCTTTCGACTTTTCAGGACAATATTTATAACCTGGGATACTTTTATGAAGACACCCTTTTGATTTTTGTGATCTGTGGACCCTTACGGACTAAAGGAATATAAATAATGAAGGAATGCAGAAGAGTTCTACACATCTAAATGGTAGGCAGTCACCAGGCTTCCTGGCACACAGTAGATATTGATAAATGTACTCGTTAGCTCTAACCGAGCTAACGAGAGGCAGTCTGTCTATATTGGCAAATGTCTTGTCTATACAGATAAATATCTAAGCATTTTAAGCGTTTACTCTTCAGAACCTGCTGAAGGGCCCTGGATGGGCCGGCGGGCCATGTGACATTAATAAATTAGGAAAAGTACTAGTGCAAGGCCAGCAGTCCATATACAGTGTTTGCTAGCTAGCAAATGTGGCTGAATGTTTGATAGTATTGATAAAAAGTTTGTATACATGCTCAAATATGTTCACTTCGGGTAGGCAAGCTAATTAACATAGTCTATGTAGCTATGTGAGAGGTTGTGAGGACAGGAGGGAGATGTGGGATAGTCAGATAGTCAAAAACAAATTTTATCCCCATAAAATACGAAAGAGACACACAGCCATGGGATTTTTACTTAAGTATTTGTATTTGATAGCTTACTTATAGTATACAGCATAAATGAGTACACCCTCTCTCATATCTAACAAATTCAGTGCTTTCTCTTTACAAATAAGACATATTTGGGGTTAC